GCATGGATCATCGTGTTTTGCGCAGGCACAGATGCATCCAGAAACTTCTCCGCAAGTTGTACTGCACACGGCACTAAGACTCGTGCCTCTCCAGCCTTGGCACGAAGTTTCGGTGATTTCAATTTGCCCCGCAACTCAGCCCGAAGCATCGTTGGTACGAGCTTGGGTAAGCGATTCTCAGAGTTGTTGGCTTTGTAAAAGGCATCGATCTCACGGAAAATTGTAACACACTTGTCCCGGCGAGAATTGCCGGACACAACGAACTCCATGATGAAGTACAGTAAGCTCCCCAGAAAATCGCTGGTGGTTCCCAGATCGCACACATGTAAAAAGTCGATCTTGCAGTTCTGCGGGCCGAAGAGTGGGATACTAAAGATAGCTGATATCATTTTCCCTTCTGCTCGCTGTCGGACCAGAAACTCCATTGAAGTCAAGGCTGCACTCCTGCATGCAGGGTCATATTAATCGTGTCTGCGCACATTTTTTAGGGGGCATGTTTTGGGATTGTGGCCTACAGCTTCAAAAGCATTTAACACCGGCACCGGCAGCTGAAGTGAGCTTCGGAAGTAAAATCTTTCATCTGGGCCCTCGTGATGTTGCATCTCCAGCAGATAAAGCCGGCCGCAGCCCATGAGGGGAAGTCTAGTGTGTCTTTATACATCGCCCAGTCGCCCCGCAGCTCTCCCAGGATCATAACAGGGATTGTTCGCCCTTGAACTTTACGTCTGTACCGGTCTGAAGGTAAAAACGCCGAGCCATCGTGTCTGGTCGCAGGGTTCACACCGCACAATGCTGCACGGAACGACCATGCCATTACTCGCCAAATCTCCTCATAAGTCGCCTGAGATTTCAAAAATGCCTTCGGAAAGGCAGCGATTGGAAACCTGAGCGAACCCTCGCCGACCAGGCTCAATGTCACGGTTTCAAGCGATTGCGAGCGGTCCGAATTAAACGGCACGGAATCTACCCATATACCGGCAATGACAGTATTGGAAGGGTCTACATCAAGAAGTTGAGCAGCTCTTGCCAAGTGATCCTGCAAGTCTGGTCGGTGAGCCAATGCCGCTTGCTGATTTGTCATCAGTTGTTCCATCTTGTTAACCTTAAGCAGAGTACTCAACAGCTCATGGGGAAGAAGAACGCTCAAGGTCATAAGCTGTGTTGCATCCGTCGCAGGGTTCAAAGCAGGTACTTGCAGCTCATACGTATCCGGCCACTTGGTGTTCCGAAAGCACTTCCGGATGAGGTCTCGGGCAGAATTTTTGCCAATAGGCACAGTGGCCAAGTCAGCAATGTTTTCTGTCCCGGCAAGACTTGCGTTCTGCAAGAGCCTTGCTGCCCGCTGTCCAGAA